CACCGACGATAAATAATGAATGGTCCCATAATTTTACAACTTTTCCCGTGCTTGTGGACCTGATTCGTTCTTAGTCGCTGTCTCGGTCGGATCCTAAGTGACATTTAACTCGCCTGCTCATCTTTAAACTCGCGGCTCTGATGGACTTCTTTATCAAATCTAATATTTTCCATAGCATGAACAATCCAATCAGCTACAGAGGTCAATTCCATGTTATGTTATCTTTTCTCTAAGTAAATTGAGGTAAATTAGATGACAGAGTTCCTAACTAGCGTGTTTTCTTCCATTCGACAGCAATCGTAGAAATATGCTCTGTGGGAGCCGGCTTAGTGAAAATCGCAGGAGTAGAAACCGAGTTCTTTCTTACAATCGATGATTCTGGAACTCTTCGCGCCACGGTGAGTCTAGATATAAAACGTAGATCTCTTATGAAAATAACTTAGAACAATAGAAAACCCATACACTTTTGCAAAGAGTAAAGAACGTAGCTCCCGGTGTTGTGGTCTGGGCTTCTTGCTGTTTATCCAGGCCCCCATGTGAACCAGCTTTGAAGCTGAACTGGGCCAGCCTGTTTATGTATCGCTAATAAATGAATAAATAGGTGAATAAATACAATTAAACCATTTTAATTCAATCATTATCTATTTTCTAACAGGACGCAGACAGTGAGGAGTGCGTTTTTGAGGAAGTGATGGTGAAGGATTTCTATAGCGCTTACAAATCATATGCATATTCGAACGAACATTGGACAGTAGCAATCAGCGATAAGGATGGAAGAGCGTATTCTGCTCGTTGTCAAGGACTTCTTGATTCAGATCTCGAGGCGCATTCATTACCTGAGATGATGCCTGATAGCGACGCATCTTCGGACGAGGAGTCTACATCAGAAACCCGAACATCACCCGAGGTTGACTCGGATACATCAGGCTTTGTAGGACTGGATGCATCGCGCTTTCTAGAGCAGCAAACTTCGCGTCTCTTTGATCTTCTCAATTTTGATCTAGAAGCGTGTTTAATGGCTGAGATACAAGAAGACGCGGGTCATGCTGTTGTGTTTCCCGATAATAATACTGACATTGGACCATCTCTGTCCGAGATTCTACGCGAGTTAGGAACCAATTTGTAGAGCGCACAAATAGCTTGCCTTGGAGCGTGCCCATGACAGGGGATCCTGGTCACAAACGATTTTGTCTTTTTACGAGGCCAGCTGATATTTTTGGGGGCTGGAGGGGGGTTAGATTTTAAAGCGCGCTTCAGAGAAGAGCAATAATCTTACTGACCACTGAACTGGTGACTTTTGACTGTCATAACTCACCAGCAGATACGTAAGGATAGGAAAGCTCAAGCATCCTTTCTAATTTATATAAGGGACTGGTCATTATTCGTCGCGAGGGAGGGGGGGTTGGGGGAGTTTGGTTGTGTCGCAATAAAAATTTACATGATCCTCTCCAAGGCAAGATTCCACTAGAATTCTCCGAACTTCTCTCTCCCCAGGCGATATTATGACTGGTTCCTAATGACATGCATCCGTGTTCAATTTTTATTGCTCGTGCACCTGATTTTTAAGCTACATGCAAAAACTGGTGTAATAGAGTTATTTTAGGGTTTTTTAGAACTTTCTTTCTCTTGTGATGAAACTACGCTGTAAACATGCCAAAGATTTAAATTTCGTGTTGTGCTGAAATCTGTTTTTGTGTTTAGCAAAGAAAGTTTCTTCCTTTGTTGTGTAACTTTCAGCACCAATAACTGTTACAGTATCATTTAAAATTTTTTTAATCGCTCTATTACCTGTGGGTATTATTTTGAATTAAGAGGTTATTTAAGTTATAAGAATGCTTTTATTGCGAAGGATTATAATATTTGTAATTTAACTATGTAAATAAATAGGTTTATTTGTGAAATGATACAAAGTAAAATTTTACATGTTGTTATGAACATTTTATTTGGCACCAGGTCTTAACTTTCGTTCAGTTTTGACAGTTTATGATTTAAAAAGTTAAGAACTGTTAAGGATCGGTGAAAAACTGCTCAGATTTTTTTGGAAAATGAGTAAGTTTTTCTGTTATTTTGCAATCCGACTCAGCGACAGCAAATAGCGACGAGTGAGTGGAGATGAAATAGTTCACACACCTGCGCATCTGACGGGCTTAATTTTTTCGGCTTTGAGAAACTGTTCGGAAATTCGACTGTCTAATTCTCCTAATTAGGTGGATTTCTCTTTGGAGAATGTACGTTTGCGAGGTTCAGGTGTATTTGATCTTCTCACAAAGTGCCATTTCATTTTTCTCTTGTATGAATTCTTTTTGACGGCGACAAAGTGGTAACATGTAGAGAGGTTTCAACTTATCAGTCTTAAAAAAAAAAACGTGCTGAGAACTCAGTCATTTGTTCAACTATACGAAAGTTAACTTCCCGTCTTGTTGCAGCTTACGCTCTATCCTTCCTTTCTTGGATCCTAGTTGACCTTCAGTATATTTTACAAATTTTTTTTGGTCGCTATCTTCTCTCCATCTACACCAGATGGAGAAAGGAACTGCGCGAGTTAAGAACCATCCAAGAAAAAATACAATCTGGGAAGGGCCTCAACTCAAGAGGCACCACTGGGGTTCAGCCCTTCCTGATACGGAAGATCTCAACGGCTATTCGTTTTACTGCTGTAGTTCCCTCTAGAAAAGTTTTTTTTTAGTAATTCAGTCATCACTAATCTGAGGGTGTCAATGAGGTGATGGCTCTTACGGCTAACGGCAGGAGCCCACTGCTTTACTTGCTCCTGCTAACGGTTAAAATTTTGGGCATTTCATGGCTAACGGTTAATTTCTTTCCAATACCTTGAAAAATAAGTTGAATTCTTTTTTGAGCCAAGGATTAAAATTTGTCAATTTTTACGCTAACGGCTGATTTAATTTTGCAGTCTTACGTTAACACCATTTAGCGCCTTTGTTCTGCTCGGTGGTGCATTGATATTAAGGCGAATTTACCCCCTGGTCACTGGAGCTAAGTATGTTCAAGGCCGCTTGACAGTGGGCCTCGAGCCCTTTAAACAGGGGTGAAACCGATTCTGAAAAGAAAGAAAAAAATGTAGAGGAAAGGGATAATTTCTGGGTCATTCTTTGCGCAGCTTGCATTTAAGGCTCAGTTACCTTCAAAGTAACTGAAAAGTATTGAAAGACTGATTCCTCAAAAACGTCGACCGACCTACGCGCGAGAAGACAGTGAAGCTACATAAAGTGGTGTCATCGAAAGGAGCGGAACATTCATGTCAATTTACTGGAAAGTGGAATAATACCT